TAATATGTTAATGCTGTTTGACAGAATGCTCTGATTCCTAGTGTCAAAGGTGCAATTCAGTGAATATAACTAAATACACTTATCTATTTCTGCTCCTTTTTTAAAAAAAATGGCACTTAAATAATTCATCCTTTGCAAATCATCCATGTTGGTCCTTAGGCATTTTATCTTTGCTCAGATTGTTGAATTGTGGTAACTGGTTTTACGGTTTTTGTATTTTAACATGACAGATGCAATGCATTGTATATCTACAGTTTCCCGGAAAAGTCAATTTTTTAGGAACTATGTTTAGCTCTTCAATAAATTTTTTCTTTAAATTAAAAAAAAAAGAACAAGCCAAATTAAAAATGGGGAAAGGAGCTTAAGTTATTCTTCAAAAGAAAATATTCAAATGATCAAAAAGCATATAAAAAGACCCTCAACATTATTCGTCATTATAGAAATGTAAATCAAAACCAAGAGACACTTCATGCTATAAATCACAGTGCTGGCAAAGACATGGAGAAATCAGAAGCTTCATACACTGTGGGTAGGAATGTGAAATGGTTCCCCTACTTTGGAAAACAATCTGGCAGTTCCTCATATCACCCAGACAGTCTACTCCTAAGTATATACCCAAGAGAAATTAAAACGACCCAAATGCCCATCAAATGCCAAATGGATGCACTAAATGTGGTACATTCATGCAATAAACTATTAGCATAGTTTATTAGAAAGAACAAACTACTGATTCATGCTACACCACAGAAGAACCTTAAAAAACAGTATGCTAAGTGAAAGAAGCCGGTCAAAGAGATCACATGTCATATTATCTCACTTATATGACTTATCCAGAATAGGTAATTCTGAAGAGATGGAAAGTAGATTGCCTCATGGTTGCTTAGGCCTAGAGAGAGGAGTAGGAAAGAAAAAAGAATAAGAGAATGATAGCTAAAGGGTGTGGGGTTTCTTTTTAAAATAATGAAATGCTCTTAAACTGAGTGTGGTGATGATTACAGGTTCCTGTGAATATACTAGAAAAATATTGAATTCTATACTTTAAATGTATGTATGGTATGTGAATTATATCTCAACAAAACTGTATGTGAATTCTATACTTTAAATGTATGTATTGTATGTGAATTGTATCTCAACAAAACTGTCAAAAAATGCAATTCCCTCTGGAAAGCTAATACCTCCTTAATTTATCCAATGTCTTTTCAACTGGGAGCTATCTGACAAGGAAGTCCAATGAACTAATTTGGAACAACAGAATTCGGACCATATATTTCAATGGAGGAGAGTGGGGAGGTGGGTGTGGGTGAGTTTGCAGCATTCATGCAGCTCAGAGAAAGGAAACCCAGATAGGACACTGCAGGCAGCAGAGAGAAAAGCAAAATCGGCACGATTCCAGGAAAAGATATTAAGGAAGGCAAAACTCCACCGAAGACAAATGCCGCACACCTCACTACCTGGCCTCGAAATGGACCTGTTCAGAGGTCCTGTCCTTATCAAACAATTTTCACACAGGGTTTACTTTCTATTTTTCAGAAAATAACTAACCTACATATATGCCTCTCTTTCAGCAAGGAAAACCTGCCCTGGAAAGGGTGGGAGAAGAGCAAAGGGGGTGACAATACTCGTATTCTGAAGGAGGAAATGCCAGCGTTTAATCTGCACGTAATCCTGTTCGGGCTCAGGCTGTGCGTCTTACCCAGCGTGCAGAAACCCAGTACAGAGCAAAGTCTTCCTCTGGGAAATATACTTTCCTTTCATATCTGTGGAGCCCCAAACCCGTGGAACAGTCGATTTGGTGCAATAAGGCAAGGGAAAAAAGTAAAACGCATACAAACTGGGAGATAAGAAGTAAAACTATCTTTATTTGAAGATGAAATAATCATCTAGTAGGTGAAAACCCTAAGGAATTAACAAAAAAGCTACTAGAACTAATATGTGAATTTAGCAAACTAGCAGGATAAAAAGATCAACATATAAAAGTCAGTTGTATGTGCCAACAAGGAACAAAAGGAATTTTTAAAAATACCACTAACAATAGCATGAAAAAAGTGAAATAGATAAATCTGATTTCAAAAGGTATGTAAGATGTACAGACTGAAATTATAAAACAGTGTTGAGACAAACTGAAGAAAATCTAAATAAATGGAGGGACATATCCTGTTCATTGATCGGAAGATTCAATATTGTTAAAATGACAATTCTTCCCAAATTGGTCGATAAACTCAACATAATCCTAATCACAATCCCAACAGCCTTGTTTATGGACATTGGCAAGCTGATTCTAATATTTATATGAAAGACAAAGGACCTTGCATAACTAAATTTGAAAGAGAAAAATAAAGTAGAAGAACTTACACTCTGTGACTCAAAGACATTATAACATTTATAGTAACCAAAATGGTATTGGCATAAAAATTGGCAAGGAGGTCAAAGAGAATAAAGAGTAAAAAAATTAGGCCCACCACATACAGAAGACTGATTTTAACATACATACAAAGGCAGAAAAGGATAATCTTTTAAATAAATGGTGCTCACTGATCATGCATGTGCAAAAAATTGAACTCTGATCCATGTATGTCATGTGCAAAAACTAACTCAAAGTAGATTACAGGCCTCGATGTAATATCTAAAAACTATACAACTTCTACAGGAAGTAGGAGAAAATCTTTGTAACTTTGCATCAGGCAAATTTAGATCCAACACCAAAAGCATAATCAAAAACATGACAAACTGAACTTTATCAAAATTTAAAACTTCTGTTCCTCAAAAGACATCATTACGAAAATAGACAAGCCACACATTGGGAGAAAATGCATACAAAACACATATCTGACAAAGAACTTATATTTAGAATACATTAAGAACTCTTACAACTCAGTAAGATAAACAACTCAAGTTATTTTCTTTAATGGGCAAAATATATGAGTATACTTTTCACCAAAAAAATATACTAATGGCAAATGAGCATGTGAGAAGGTGCTCAATGTCATTAGTTACTAAAAAAATGCAATCAAACCCACAAAACATCACTTCACATCCACTAGAATGGTTCCAGTTAACAAAGACGGACTCCACTGACCGTAGCGAGGATGTGGACGAACCGGAACCCTAACAGCACACTGCTAGTAGTACAGCCATATGGGAAAACAGTGTGGCAACTTCTAAAAAGTTAAACAACATATGTATGATGTGACTCACCCATTCCACTCCTATTACCCAAAGGAAATGAAAGCATATGTCCACACAGAGACTGGTACATAAATGTTCATGACAACTTTCTTTATAATCACCAACGACTGAAAACAAACCCGAAACCCCAAGATGCAGTAATATTCATAAACGGGAATATCACCCACCCAACAATAAAGGTAGCAAATTATTAATACACACAAAAATAATGGATGAGTTTCAAAATAATTACACTGAGTAGTGAGTGCTCTGGCTGGTGTGGCTCAGTGGATTGAGCACGGGCCTGCAAACTCAATGCCTGCCAGTTCCATTCCCAGTCAGGGCACATGCCTGGCTTGCCAGTTTGTCCCAAGCAGGAGTATGTACAGAAGTCAGCCGATGAATGTTTGTCTTTCACATCGATGTGTGTGCCTCTCTAACTTTTTCCCTCCCTGCCTCCCTCTCCCTTCCTCTCTCTAAAATCAATAAATACATCCTTGGGTGAGGATTTTTTTAAAAAAAGCAAAATAATCACAATCCTTAAATGACTAGAGCCATCTAGATATTCTGATCAATTTTTAAGTAATATTTCTAAAAACCCAGGTAGTAAGATCACATTTTGATAATTTACAAGCTGTCATTCTCATTCATCTTCAGTTCCTTTATTCTCTCCTCACTTCCTGGAATTGGCTGTTTCCGGCATATGCTCTCTACACAAAAGGCCAGGCCAGTGAATTTCCATCAAAAAAAGGAAAAGCACAGCTTATTGCTTAATAATGTTTGATAGCCACCCCATACAATCAAGAGATATAAATATACTCCAAAAAAAATTAAAAGGTGCTAATACATTGCACCACATTAACAAACAGAAATCAAATATATAAATATGTGTAATGTCTGTTATTTAACTTTTTTACTTCACACTCACTTTAGCGAGGGAAGAAGAGGGGAGGGACAAAGGGGAGGAAAATAAAACAAAGTAGCAGCTCAGACTGAAGGGCACAGCCCTATGCCTGGAAACTAGCCAGTGCTAAACATCTGTTGAAGGAACGAGCCTGATTTCACTATCAGTCCATCATCTATCTGCACTTGTCTCCTAGCATCACAACCATATTACCAAAACGGCTTTTTATTGGCTCTTGAGGGGCAAAAAACAAAGTTTGGGAGTCCTCCGTATCCCTAAGGGATATTTTATGATCAATTAAGTGATTGGGTTAGTAAATATAGGAAATAAAGAATGAATTCACATAATAAAAAGGTAAGAAGTCAAGGATAACACTGTCTGAATAAAAATAAAATAAAGTCCTAGTTTTGCTGTGTTAGGGTCCATTCTGAGAAATGATATCATTTTAGACATCAAAGTTTCGTGTGTTCCACTAGAGAATGACCAGCATGTGTATAGAATGTCTACACCACAAAATGTTGAAATTATACTTTGATTATATAAAACAACCAATTAAACAGGCAAGTACAGCTTGGTACATATATTTTGTGCATATATTTGGGCAACTTACTGTAATGAGAAAGTAAGACTTATACTGTTGTATTATTAAAACTTATTATGTTTTATTCCACAACATAAACTGGTGTTTTTGAAGTGCTTAAAAAGATTTAAATCATTTCCTCTCTTAAAGCAATGTCACCTTTCCTCTGGAGGTGTATAAACTACTCTATTCTTAGCAAGTCCCTTTTCCATAGCTAGGAGAAAGATACCTGGCTCAGTCCTTGTCTAAATTATCACACATTTTGAATTATAAGGAGATACATCTTTTTAATACGATAAAAACCACGTTTGACTTTCATTCCAGAGCCCAAGGGGCTGGATGTTTGCTTACCTCGGACTTGAAAATACTTCACATGGTTCGCCACAGCCTCTGTGACGCTTTCGTCCGGGCAGACTCTTACTGCACCGGGAAATAGAGTAGATCGCCGTCTTCTGAGCAACCAGCGTCTCTCAGCCTCTCTGTGGTCCTGAGGTCCAGGTCGTTTCTTGTCACTGGACAGAGAAGGGTCTGCAGATTCTGAGTCAGCCAGCAGAAAAGAAACTGCACTCTTGGGTTCCTGGATTTCTTCTAAAGATGGGTAGCTTTGTGCTACAGAGTGAAAGCATGAACAAGGCCTCTGATAAATGAAGATACAGTACAAAAGGTAACAAAGAAAAACTGACAGTTGTGCTCCATTAGGACTTTTTGAAGTCAAATCTCAGATTACAGACGTACTCGCCTAAGGAGAGGAACGAAGCATTCAATCTTTTCTCCATTTAATTCCTACTCCTTCATTTCAAGGTTGTTAATTACTGAAGTCGAGTATACATCCAATTTCAAAGTATATATCTAACTTCAACACAAGAAATAAAAGGAAGGTTTGAACCAGGAAAATCAAAATTATTGGAGATAGCAGTCTCATCAAATACTATTTTTAGAAAGAATACAGATATAAAAAAAAAGATAAAAACATCAATTTTTAAATACCTGTTAATGATGGAAGGTTTTCTTCTATCAGGACAAATATCAAAATACCCAAAGAAATCTTCCCAAAATGAGGAAACATAATCATTTGGCCAAAACCAAGGGATGAGGAAAGGCCAAAATCCTTAACCGAGCACCCAAAGCCTTGAAACTTCCAATAACAAATTGTTACAAGAAAGGTCTAACACTTAAAGTGCATGTTTGAGAACTGACAAACATTCCAAAACCATTACAAATTAACTTAAATACAAATGGTGCCCCTTCGAAGTACCTCACTTCTTTTCTGAAATAATCAGCATGCTGTGAAAGCAGGAGAGATAAGCTAATTAGGGCAGATGGGGAGAGACCATTTCTTTAATCTAGCCTGCTAAGCTCTTTACAAACACTCTCTTTGCCTTTAACAAGCAGTTCATTTTAAAATGTTTCACATGCATTTCACGAATTTTTACGAACCTATTAGTTGAGCCTTATAGATTCACATATGCTCTGGGTTCTTCCAGGGCCTGTAATTTATAAGCATAAAACAACCAGACTGACTATACCTACCTGTAGCACAAGGATACACACAGAACATAATCAGAGTTCTTGGAGCTGTTTCTCTTTGTAATAAAGCTATTGCCCTTAAATTTCCCTCCTTAATAAAAAAAATTTGAAGATCTTGCACTATAACCATGTCACCTTCCTTACTTATAATATGGGATAGTAGTAGAACAGCTACCTCCTGACAGAGCTATTGGGAGGGCTGAGTTAGGTAATAAGTAGAAAATACTCAGAACAGTGCCTGCTGCATACTAAGCACACAATATAAATGATGACTATGTGATAATAACTTTATTGCTTAATTTGTTATTAAACATTAGGCCCAGTGTGTCATCCTTTACCCAATAAGACCAAATAAAGTTCTTTGTGTTAGGACAGTAGTTTTTATCAAATGAGTCTAGTAGAAAGCAATTGAGTTAGTTTAACACACTTATGGAAGCGAGAATTTACTATCAAATAGCAATGAATTTATCTTATGTACTTTTCATTAAAAAAAATGTTTTGAAAAGATCTAAAACACACTTCTCTGGAGACTCTTATACTACTTGTGCTAAATCATTCCTGTTCTATGTTTTACAAAAAGCTTAACATGCATTTTTTAATACAAACTCATACAATCCATATTTTCAGCTCTTACACACGCTAACAAATCTAAATGACCATTAAATATGTGTGCACAGAAGCATTTGCAATAGATTGGTAAGAACTTTATTTGCCAAATTTTGTTGAAGGGGAGGAAAAAGTTGAAAATTTTACTAGCGAAGCAAAATTTTCAAGTTCAAAGAAAAGCTTCATGTTGACAATTCAGACCAAGGGAGAACTTTAAGGCAACAAGTATTAGTTGGAAAGTCTTTGTAAGGGCCTACTCCAACAAGCCAGGAAATCTTCTGAGATGCAGAGTATTCTGGAAATATATCTATACTTAGAATGAGAAAAACCCTGGGTAACACTGGACTCAAAATCTGTTTTTACCACTTAATATTTGATTTTGTTAAATCTAAATTCTTTGAACTGGTTTATTCACCAAAGAAATTACGTACCATAATCTCTGTCTATATATCACAGGTTGCTGAGAAAATTAGGAAATCTAGTTGTTCTTGTTTTTTAAAAAAATATTTTACTTATTTTTAGAGCAGGGAGTGAGAAAGAGAGGGAAACATCACTTTGTGGTTGCCACTCAAGCACCCCCTACTGGGGACCTGGCCCACAACCCAGGCATTTGCTCTGACTGGGAATTGAACCAGAGACCCTTTGGTTCATAATCCAGTGCTTAATCCACTGAGCCACACCAGCCAGGGTAAAATGTGGAAGTTCTTTGTAAACTAATGTATATTACTATTTCTCTTTTATTACAAGTGTTCATAAAATTAAAAAGGTTTCAAACAGAATAAATTTCCCCTAATTATATCACAAGTACTTATGTAAGAACCCTACAAATGGTTATTCCACAAAATACACTTTGTAAGATTTCAGCAAACTATACTTAAAAAAACAATAGTATGAAAACTTCAGCTGGGTTCATTTGCTTCTAAATAGGTTTGGCATTTTATAAATTCATTTTAACTTCACATGTAACATAACTCTTAACTACAGCATTCTCAGAGTAACTCTATGATACAAGACTATAAGTAGGCTGTGGGGGCAACTTTGCCTGCAACTCCCCCCATATGCCACAGATGAAAATGAAACTGCCAAGACATGATCTGCTTGGGGAGGAGAGGTGGTCAGTCTCCCAGAGGAGAAGGACCAAGAACCTCTTCTTCAATGACTTTTATTAGGTTCATAACACACAGGAATACAGGTAAAGCTCATCAATCAATGTCAGGTGGCAAGGATCAAACAGTAGATTACATTTCAAAGAAATCTGAGGGCTTAGTCTGAGTCAGTGTCTGTCAGGAAAGGGGATTGCAAAAACTTTGGGAGACATATTCATTTCCTGCTTGGACCTTTATCATATGAATGAAAACACTCTTAGCAAAGCAGGCTTCACAGGACTTTAGGAATTTTTTCTTATGCCCCATTACCTCGGAACCCACTCTAGCCTGCAAAGAGCTGCACCACCTTCCCAGTCATAGGTTTTTAGGTTCAAGTGGATTAGAGCCAGAAAGCACTTCTCCCAGATGGAAATGGGGACTCAGGCTATGTCAGAATAGCTGGGGGGGGGGGGGGGGGGGCGCGGCGCGAGAGGGTCCATCACTCCCTCTTTGTTGCAGCCCCCCGAGTCCTTCCTTGAGGACCTCCGAGGTGATCCTGTCTGGCTTAGGTTGCCCCCCTTCTGAGGGGTCTTACCTGTCATTGATTAACCGACCAAGCATTGGGGGCCAGAGATGAATGAAGCGGAAGCAGCACTCCGGCCGGGGAGATAAGCTTTGTCTCCTTAGTGGCTCACAGTCCGGAGGTCACACGGTCAGCCTTAGCCATGGGGGCAGTTACAACTCCTGAAACCAGGCGGAGCGGTTCCCAACAGTAGGTGATGACTACCATCAGGTTGTGCCATAGGAACCCAGAAGCAAGGTGAATTCCAACTAGAAAACTAAAAGGCAGTTCTTAGAGAAAACATTTCCGCTAAGCCTTGAATGTCCTGGTGTGGGCAGAGGTGGGAGAGTTAATGGGAAGGAATGAGAGTTAGGAAAAAAAAAACTCCTGGTCATGATCAATAAGGTAGAAAAATATACTGTCTGTATAGAAAATAGGAAGACACTTGCTAGAGCAGGAACAGCAGCATAGGGCAAATAGGTTGCAAATGAAGGCTGAAAATGTTGATAGATTCTGAAAGATCTTCAAAGTCTTACCAAGAATGTGGTCATTTTCCTATAGATGAAAAGATTATCTAGTATTTCATTACTCAAAAAAATATTCCTTGAGTTTTTACTGAGATTCTTTTTAAGAAATATTTCAAAATCTCATCTGATGGTCCCTCATGCTTTAAGAAATGTCCTGAATTTATAAGCTGGTTAAAAAAAAAAGCTAGGACTTCCACCAAGATGGAGGCATAGGTGGAAACACCTTGTGTCCGCGCACAACCAAATCTAAAAACAACAAAGTTTTAACAACAATAAACGCAACCAAACCACACAGAAAATCGACAATACAAAGTCCGAAAACAACGAAATGCTCAGCTTTTCGGTAAGAGGGGTAAAGCCAGCAGCGGAGCGGGTTGGCCAAAAAGATCCCCGACCAGGGTGGTGCGCAGCAGCCGAAGGTGTGGATCCCAGCTGTGGGCTCGCTACGGGCAGACACAGGGAAGAGGCGCGGCTGTCCGTCTGCGGTCAGTCGAGCATTTGCGTGCAGATAAACCAATAAAGAGGCGAGCATTGAGACTGCACGGCGCAGGGCAGTGGGCTCGCACATTTCCGCTCAGATAAACAAGTGGGGGTGAGCAGTGGGACGGACTGGGCGAGTGGAGAGGACCGCCATTGTTCCCTCTCTGACCCCGCCCCCACATACAGCGTCACAAACCAGCGACCTGGGTGGCCCCACCCTGGTGAACAACTTACGCTCCGCTCCTCATACCTAACAGGCACAAACAGATCAAAACATGGCTCAAGAACAACTCAGAGCCCCAGAGCCAATAAATCTAAGCGATGAAGAAATAGCCAAACTTTCCGATGCACAGTTCAAAACACTGGTGATCAGGATCCTCACAGAACTGGTTGATTTTAGTCAAAAATTAGAGGAACATATGAAGGCGAAACTAATTGAAATGGATGGTGGTAATGCACAGGAAACCAATAGTAATGGAAAGGAGACTGGGACTCAAATCAAGGGAGTAGACCAGAAGGAAGGAAAAAATGATCAAACAGAAAAGAATGAAGAAACAAGAATTCAAAAAAATGAGGAGAGGCTTAGGAACCTCCAGGACATCTTTAAACATTCCAACATCCGAATTATAGGAGTACCAGAAGGGGAAGAGGAACAGTCACAAGTGGAAACCTTATTTGAACAAATAATAAAAAAGAACTTCCCCGTTCTGGCAAAGGCAATAGACTTCCAGGAAATCCAGGAAGCTCAGAGTCCCAAAGAAGTTAGACCCAAGAAGGAACACACCAAGGCACATCATCATTACATTAGCCAAGATTAAAATGAAGGAGACAATCCTAGAAGCAGCAAGAGATAAGGGGACTGTCACCTACAAAGGAGTTCCCATCAGACTGTCAGCGGATTTCTCAAAAGAGACCTTATAGGCAAGAAGGGGTTGGAAAGAACTATTCCAAGTCATGAAAACCAAAGACCTACATCCAAGATTGCTCTATCCAGCAAAGTTTTCATTTAGAATGGAAGGACAGATAAAGTGCTTCTCAGATAAGACCAAATTCAAGGAGTTCATCATCACCAAGCCCTTATTATATTAAATGTTAAAGAGACTTACCTAAGAAAAAGAAGATAAAAAAGATGAACAGTGAAAGGACAGGAAACTCACAGTTTTCAACAACCACACCTAAAACAAAAGCAAATTAAGAGGACAGCTAGATCAGGAGCGGAACTATACAAATGAAGATCACGTGGAGGATTAGCAACAGGGGAGTGGGAGAAGGAGAAGAGGGAAGAAGGTACAGAAAATAAGTAGCATAGACAGTAGATAGAAAATAGATGGGGGGGACAAGAATAGCATGGGAAATATAGAATCTAAAGAACTTGAGACACGTGTTCATTAACTAAAGGGAGGGGTAATAATGGTGGGGATGGGGGGGTAGGGTGGAGGGGAATGAAGGGGGAATAGAACAAATGTAATGGCAT